GTTCAGTTTTTAGCTAATTAAATGCCTTCAGAGGTAGAAATTGTGGAGTTAGTCAGTATTTAGGATAAATGTATGACAATTTTGTCATACAGCTGGAATAGGGTAGTCTTATACGAGTTGTGACTAGAATAAAGATAATAGAAGAACGTACACTCAGTATTTTAGCTGTGGGAAGCTGCTTTCGGTGGTACATACAGGCAAATTTGGAAATACCTTATGTGCTAGAGAATGGCACTAGGATGGGTATGGACTATTGGTTAGTCTTGTTGCGTATGTATTTTTACTACCTAATTATTGGTTCACCATGGGTATGCTGTCTGCATGGTTAAGGATATTGTTTGGGGATTACTGGAATACAAGGAATGATTTATTACGATACAGCCACGGTCCAATTGTTTTATATGACTTTCTAATTTTTGAAATATTTGATAAACAAACAATCAGTTTGTATGGATTTCAGTATAGAAATGTGTGTTTTATATGTTTATAGTAATACCATGGGCTATATGCTTTCGGTGACGTATAAAATTACATATTGGGGCACCCGATCAAGTGGTGCAGTGCTCGTGTATTTTAGACTTTTAGACTCTTGGTGAGTCAGGATTTTATAAGAAGAATGTGCTTCTTAAATTATTCCAGTGTCTGACAGAATATGGGAGATAAAACTGAAATTGTTTCAGTGCGTGGATAGCTGGCCACAATGAGGGAACATTGAAATTTATATTGGCCTTTTTGCTGATAACTTTGAACGTAACTAAATCACATGGAATTAAATGTTGGGGAACACTTACTTGGACTACTTTACAGATTTGGAAAATCTACTGGACGACTTTTACTATATTTACCTTCCTGGAACCTTGGACAAGATGTGTACCTGGATGCTCTGCTCGAACTTTAAAATTGGATTCCTTACTCCGTGATGATGTCTCGTGATGTATTTGTGACTTTTGAACATTTAGTTAAAGACCGTTGAATATCTTGAACTATTTTTGAAATTATTTATTGACATTAACAGTAAATTGATTAATTTGTTGATAACTATGTGTGTCTGTATACGAAATTTGGTAAGTATACCTGACCGATCTTAGGACTAATGTGTGGGCACATTATGTCTTAAGAGAGGGGGAGTGTAATGGTGGTCACTTTGTTTACTTGTTATTTATTCTATTTATTTGGGGAAATTGGTTAATGTTAGTATTATTTATAGTTCCGTAACTCTTTCTTCCGAGACCGGCCATGTAATTATTCTTGTCGGGACTTCCTGCCTCTTGCACGTGCCTGACATCCGGCCCGGCCGGGCTCGTTGTCCCTAGGAACTATAAGTATGACGTCACTCACCGGGTTCAGGGCAGTCTACACTTAGGATTTGAAATGAGCAGACGCTCATACCGTTTGGCTTGCAAATTTATATAGAACTTTACAATGACAAGTAGACTAGCCACCACCGTATATTTTATTATTCTTGTATGTAACTTATATTCAGCCATAACGTATGTCTCTTAATAAACATCATCTTTATGTTTACGTGGTTTTAGTTGTCCAATATCCCAGAACTTGGGTAGACAACGGGAAAACGAAGCCAGTGGAAACTCCACTCCCGTTACACTTGTTTATATTTTTTCGTTTGGTCTTGTATTATATTTGCCTTCGGGTTTATATGATCCGTTCATCCTATTTCGACTCTTCAAAATTCAAGAGTCAATCCCAAATTGTGGTAAATTATATGGCCTTCCAAATACCGTTTCGATTCCTAACATCACTGAAGAGACATGTATTGTCGAAATCCGGATATGGTGTACAAATTTTTGCACCTCATGTTTGCGGTATACCATCTTTTCCGCAAGTTTTTTGTTTTCTATTTGGTATTAGATTAATATTAAGATCCATTTTGTTACATCTGTGATCCGTTTATTTGGCAATCGCCATGGCAGTCAGCAGGGTTTAAGAACATCCGTTGTTCGACCTGCTAGTCAAATGCGTTTTGTTAAAATATACTTTTTCACTTTTTGGTCTTTTGGAAAATGTTGTTTGTGCTGTATTTAGACCCCTCTACCAAGAAATTTGTTTTGCATGCACACGTATAAAAATTGCGGTTTTTATCCAACGCAATCATAGGTTTGAACGTTGTTTTCAATTTAGACTTGTTTATATATATATATTTAATTTTGGATGTAACGCGTCTTCTGATTGGCTGACGTTGTTTTGTTTATCAGCTCATAGACATAATTTTGTCATGTGACCGTGACGTCATCAACGTTTTTTCATGGTTTACTCCGGTTTAAAATGGAATTTAGAATTAAATTATAAGAAATGACTGTAATATTTTTTCTGTCTATTCGAAATAACATAAAAAATGTGGTGCACACTTTAAAATAACCCGCTACGCGGGTTATTCAGTGTGCACCACATTTTTGATGTTATTTCTTCATAGACAGAAAAAATATTACAGTCATTCCTTAAATATATATATATATATATATGTAATGGTTTTTCCAAACTTTTGTACATTTCTGGTAATGATGAAAATTCCCTTTTTTCAATTAATTCGTTGCTTTTCTTTCATATTTAAAACTTCTCAATTTCTATTTAAAAAGTTTATGAAGTTCCTGAGCACACATAAAACACTAGCCGTATCCATATTACATCGAATTCCTATATCTATATTTCTTTCATAAGTTAGGTTTTATACCGTATACCTATGTAATGCTTGTATATTCTTGCTGTAACTTATGTGTGTATCTTATGTTCGGTCTCTAGATCCAAAATTACTGGCTTTGTGTATTTTTGTTTCTGTGTTAAGACAGTCTACTCTATGTTTTTAGCTCATCTGGCCCGAAAGGCAAAGTGAGCTTTTCTCATTACTTGGCGTCCGTCGTCCGTCGTCGTCGTCGTCCGTCGTCGTTAGCTTTTTACAAAAATCTTCTCCTCTGAAACCACTGGGCCTAATTTAACCAAACTTGGCTACAATCATCATTAGGGTATCTAGTTTAAAAAATGTGTCCGATGACCCCGCCAATAAACCAAGATGGCCGCCATGGCTAAAAATAGAACATAGGGGTAAAATGTAGATTTTGGCTTACATCTCTGAAACCAAAGCATTTAGAGTCAATCTGACAGAGGTAAAACTGATTATCAGGTCAAGATCTATCTGCCCTGAAATTTTCAGACAAATCTGACAACCTGTTGTTGGGTTGCTGCGCCTGAATGGGTAATTTTAAGGAAATTTTGCAGTTTTTGGTTATTATCTTGAATATTATTATAGATAGAGATAAACTGTAAACAGCAATAATGTTCAGCAAAGTACGATCTATAAATAAGTCAATAATGACCAAAATTGTCAATTGATCCCTAAAAGAGTTATTGCCCTTTATAGTCAATTTTTAACAATTTTTCGTAAATTTTTGTAATCTTTTACAAAAATCTTCTTTTCTGAAACTACTGAGACAAATTTAACCATACTTGGCCATAATCATTATTAGGGTTTCTAGTTTTAAAAATTTGTCCGATGACCCCCGCCTTCCAACCATCATGGCCGACTTGGTTAAAAATAGAACATAGGGGTAAAATGCAGTTTTCATACGCCCGTTTACGGGACGTATTATGGTATACCGTCCGTCTGTCCGTCTGTCCGTCTGTCCGTCCGTTTGTCCGTCCGTCCGTCGTCAACATGTCGGACATTAACTCAAAAACACTTTTACCAATATGCATGAAACTTTGGTGAATTATTTATATCTATTGACGTGAGCTCCCTTTTGTTTTTCAAAAATTTCGGATTTACCGTTTCCGAATTTTGGAGTTTTATTCATTAAAAAAGGGAGGATTTTCCAGTTTTCGGACAATAACTCATAAACAATTTCACCAATTTGCAAGAAACTTTGGTGAATTGTTTAATGCTATCGACGTGAGCTCCCTTTTGATTTTTATAAATTTTAGACTATACGTTTCTGATTTATGGGGTTTTATTCGTTACAAAAAGGGTGATTTTCCAGTTTTCGGACAATAACTCAAAAATGCTTTCAGCATATTTTATGAAACTTTGGTAAATTGTTTATATCTATTGTTGTAAGCTCCCTTTTGATTTTTATAAATTTTAGATTTTATGTTTCCAAAGTTAAAAAAGGGGTGATTTTCAAGTTTTTGGACAATATCCTTAAAGTGCTTAGAGCAGTTTTCATTAAACTTTGATGACTGATTTATATCTATTAAGATAACCTCCCTTTAGTTTTTTTTTTATAAATTTCTAATATAACATTGAGAAGTTATTGAACTTTATTTGTTTATAGTCTGACAACAGATTTACTAGTATTGCGCAACAGCACAGTGTATTGCACAACAGAAAGAAATCTTTAATTGAATATAAATTCAATTCATATAACCAATTTCAAGTTCTTTGACTACATTTATTCAGAAACCTATAATATGTCAAATATTTAATTACAATCCAAATTCAGACCTGTATCAAGCTTGAATATTGTGTCCATTTTTGCCCCAACTGTTCAGGGTTGGACCTCTGCGGGCGTATCCAGCTGCGCTCAGCGAAGCAGTTTATTGGTTTTTATCTCTGAAACTTAAGCATTTAGAGCAAATCTGACAGGTGGCAAAAATGTTCATCAGATTTAGATTTATCTGCCCTGAAATTTTCAGACGAATCCGACAACCCGTTGTTGGGTTGCTGCCCCTGAGTAAGTAATTTTACAGAAATTTTGCAGTTTTTTGTTATTATCTTAGATATCATTATAATATCTAATATCTAATACTATAAATTATGATTTTAACCTAATTTTACATTATTTCCAAAGCATCAGTAAATACAGGTGAGCGACACAGGCTCTTGAGAGCCTCTAGTTCTTGATTCTTTTCTCCTCTGAAAGCACTCTACCACATCTCTTCTGTTCTCTTATTATGTTATCAATTTTGTATTACATAAATCTATACATCATTTTTTATTCATATTTACATAATTCTACATTTTAGGTAACTCTACACATTTTCTAACTTACCACCACCATTTCTAAAACACAGGTATGGAAATCTCCAAACATTACCCAATCCAACACAATACCCTATACAGGACAATATGAAGTCTAGTCGTCCAGTCCAGTTACCACGCTCTATAATCTCCTGTAAATAATAAGTTTAAATAAAACTATCTAAAGGATAGCATATGTCCGTTAATCCTTTCAACGATATATAGCTTAGCATGAATAGATATGCTTGTTGCTTTCCCAAAATTTGGTTGTTGTTTTTCCTTTTCCTTGAAATCCCCCTCCCCAACCCCAATAAAACTATTAAAAACTTTGCATGTTCATAAAGATTTTTCCGCGGAGCCTTTTTTTACCGAAAAATCTTTACATGTAGTTAAACTAAGTCTCAAAAACGATGGATGAGTGAGAGTTGTTAGATTTATTGTAAGGAATGGATTAAACCAAATGGATTTGTCTCGAAAGGCAATATATATATAGTATATTTTATAGCAAAGATTACAAACTCGAAATGCTCTGTAGACATGAATACAGTTTGCTTGTCGACGTCACTAAAAGTTGTTCTGAATATACACGAAATAGTTGCTACTGGGCGAATATGCGAAAATCAATCAACCAATCCTTCAATGCAAAAAAAAAAAAAAAATATACAATTTTCCATATCATTTAAAAAAAAAATCTTCAACAGCAATTTTTAGCAATCTTTAAAATTTTAATGTTGTGCATATATTGACAAACGGGGAATCTTTTACCAAAATTTCACTAGGTTTCAACCACTTTCGGCATTTAATCCCGTGACTATGTGAAACAAATTCAGGGAAAATAGTCTTACACCTTTTAATAAAAAACTCTTTATCCAAATGTAGAATCGCCATGCTGAAATCATTTTTTCACAGGGTTTTCTTAACCGACCGTGCGAGACCCTCATGGGTAGTCAAGGTCGTTAAAAAAACCCTCGTCGGCTTCGTTTTCTTACCGAAAATATAAATCTTTAATACTGCGTAGTACGGCGAGCGGGTTTGGTATCTTTCGGCACCAGTTGTTTCTATTCAATAAGTTGAGAACGGTTCAAATAATGCTTTTCAAATCTAAATATTAGACAAATGGACTTAAAGTCTGCGACGTATCCTAGGATGGTCCTATGATAGTCCTTAAGAATGCCACAAGAGATATCTTAAGACATGTCTTGAACATTTTCAAAAAAAAAAAAAAAACAGGCCCCGGATTTGTTTTATTTTCATAGTATTGTTATAGAGATATATGTGGTTCACAATCATCCAACGATACCACAATCGCTGCAATAACAGTAACAATTTTTAAAATTAAATTGCATATGCATTTTGTTAGTCGCTGATGTATTTTAACAACGAAGTCAGTTCAAATCAAACGTATAACCAGAATTTATTAAAATTTTGAATCAGTTAATTATATCAAGGATTTGTATAGTAATACTAATCCTTGATTTTCTAATGGATTTTTTTCTTAACGTCCAGTGTAATATATGTCATCTATATTTAAGACGAGAAAACATTAACAAACAATGCATACTCGAAATTCAGGGAAAATAGTCTTACACCTTTTAATAAAAAAACTCTTTATCCAAATGTAGAATCGCCATGCTGAAATCATTTTTTTTCACAAGGTTTTCTTAACCGACCGTGCGAGACCCTCATGGGTAGTCAAGGTCGTTAAAAAACCCTCGTCGGCGTCGTTTTCTTAACGAAAATATAAATCTTTAATACTGCCTAGTACGGCGAGCGGGTTTGGTATCTTTCGGCACCAGCTGTTTCTATTCAATAAGTTGAGAACGGTTCAAATAATGCTTTTCAAATCTTAATGTTAGACAAATGGACTTACAGTCTGCGACGTATCCTAGGATGGTCCTATGATAGTCCTTAAGAATGCCACAAGAGATATCTTAAGACATGTCTTGAACATTTTCAAAAAAAAAAAAAAAAAAACAGGCCCCGGATTTGTTTTATTTTCATAATATTGTTATAGAGATAATATATATATATGTGATCCGTGTAAACTCATCGAACCTTTAATAAAAAACTTATTAGTAAAGGTTATCTTACCAATGTTGTAATTAGATCTTTGAATATAGTTAACATTGGCACTAATATCGATTTTGTCATCAGCAAAACATAATTAAATTTGTATTCTTTTCAAACGGGATGTATAAAGACACACCCACGTTCATTTTGATCTATAAAGAGGTTAACTCCTAACTATCCTACTGCCTGTCGATACATTTATTTTTGGTATTGCACAAGTCATGTCTTCTTTGAATGTCCATGACGTTAAAATACTAAATCCCTGGGATGTGTTTTAGTTGATTTTAGTCTCTGATACTTATGTTTTTTGTTATTTAATGTTATTCAGGGTTATATCTGGTCTATATACCAGCTTTGATAAATGTTTGGTATTACTATAAATTTTCAATTCTTCGTACTATGGACATCAAAATTATTTGTTTTGTAAAAATATTTCCTTTCTCCATTTGAACTGTACACGTACACCTAACAAAAAAATTATTTTCATTTACCTGTGTTTAAAGTAATTGCAAATGGCTGATATTTTTGTTCAAGCATATTGTTTTTCTTATATTGTTTAACATTTCACAGCGGTATAACATGTTACTTTCATTATTCTTCCCTTAGTTTATTTATTTTGTATTTACATTGTATCATAGATCAAATTTATTTGTTTAGTGTATGTTCACTGGTGTTAATATGTCTTTTGATTGAGTTAAGCCATTTCTATTGATATTTTATAGTGTGTCTTTCTATGTTGTGATGTTACACTATTGTTTCAGATAAGGGTGAAGGTTTGGTACCATTAAAACGTTTAAACCCGCTGCAATTGTTTGCACCTGTCCTAAGTCAGAAATCTGATGTTCAGTAGTTGTCGTTTGTTGATGTGGTTCATAAGTGTTTCTCGTTTTTTTATATAGATAAGACCGTTGGTTTTCCCGTTTGAATGGTTTTACACTAGTAATGTTTGGGGCCCTTTATAGCTTGCTGTTCGGTGTGAGCCAAGGCTCCGTGTTGAAGACCGTACTTTGACTAATAATGTTTTACTTTTATAAATTTTGACTTGGATGGAGAGTTGTCTCATTGGCAATAATACCACATCTTCTTATATCTATTAGGTAGATTCTGCGACAATAAAGAAAGGGCTAGAAACGACTGTCACTGGAAAATGATAGTTTGTTGGATATGGACAGAAATGTGCCTTGCAACTTACGAAGACCTCAAATATGTGTTGCAAGGGATCTTTAATGTACAGAGTTCATGACATTCTATCTACACGTGACATCGGATTTAATGTCCCCATTCAGACACGGCTTAGCTTCTATTTATACATCCTATACAGTCAAACACGTGCTCAACTTTAGTGAGGGTTTAACTGCTGGACAGTAGAAGTCAAAGGAATGACCATGTTTCTCCTTATAGGGTTTAATTCACTAAGTGAAAATCAACTGGAATCATGGATTGACAATAGCTTGTTTGGTTTCTTAGTATCAATTTTTTTTTTCAAAAAAAAAGGAAGAAAAAAAGAAAAAAAAGATATTTAAAAAATCTTTTATACTTTATCTACTTAAAATGCTTTTATCACGGTTTCCCCCTTCGCAATTGCGCTGTGCGGTGGCCGAAGTTCTAACGACAGGTCTCGTAGATAAGGTCACTGCATACGGGAAAATGTCCGTGAATTAGAGTACGGGAGATAATACTTCAATAACATTACATTTATGAAAATTATAATAATATAAAGGAATTTCTTTTACAAGAAAGTTCACGTACTCTTGATATATAGCAAAACTTAGCCATTCAAGTATATAAAACATATCCAACTTATTTTTTTTTAATTTGGAGTTTCATATGACTTTAATCTTGATGAATAATATATACAATTACACCCCAGTTCTATTGTTATACTTTATAGTTTCTATTTCTGAAACAAGTGTAAATTGAATATATAGATCTATTGTTACGAATAACAATGGATTTTGATCACAGGGTGTGACGAGCGGGGTTTCTGGAAACCCCTGCTTTTACATCCCGAAAAACACAGACCATTGTTATTCATAACAATAAAAATTGTTTTTTTTAATAGCATGAACTTAAGAGATTACTAATAGTGTTCACTACAAGTTGTTTCAAGACATATTAAAAAACATATTTCAGGAAATTCCAATAGCGAAACAAATATTTAGCTTCTATTTTGAATTAAAAAACAACATTTAAATACTCCTTGCTTTAAGCTAAAATTTTAATCCCATATGGCAATGTCTTAAAGAACATACATGTAAAGAACTTTTATTTGAATTATACATTAAAAACATATAGTTTTCATTTGGACTAAGTCTTAAGACTAATGATGGCACCCAGGGGCGGATCCAGCCAATTTTAAAAAGGCAGTGCCAACCCAGGATAAAAGGGGGGTTCCAGCCATATGTCCCCATTCTAAAACATTGGTCGTAAAAATATGGAGGTTCCAACCCCAGACCCCCCTTTTTGGATGACCCCAAAAATGGGGGGTTCCTACATATGCAATCTGTATTTTTAAAATAAAATTGAGAATGGAAATAGGGAATGTGTCAAAGAGACAACAACCCGACCATAGAGCAGACAACAGCCGAAGGCCACCAATGGGTCTTCAATGCAGCGAGAAACTCCCGCACCCGGAGGCGTCCTTCAGCTGGCCCCTAAACAAATATGTATACTAGTTCAGTGATAATGGACGTCATACTAAACTCCAAATTATACACAAGAAACTAAAATTAAAAATGATACAAGACTAACAAATGCCACAGGCTCCTGACTTGGGACAGGCGCAAAAATGCGGCGGGGTTAAACATGTTTTTTGAGATCTCAACCCTCCCCCTATACCTCTAGCCAATGTAGAAAAACAAACGTACAACAGTACGCACAGTAAAACTCAGTTTAAGAGAAGTCCGAGTCCGATGTCAGAATAGGAAACAAAAGAAAATAAACAAAATGACAATAATACATAAATAACAACAGACTACTAGCAGTTACTGACATGCCAGCTCCAGACCTCAATTAAACTGATTGAAAGATTATGTCTTCATCATATGAATATCAGGCACAATCCCTCCTGTTAGGGGTTTAG